AGATGACAACAACAATGTAAAGTGTAAGGGTTCAGACTGATACATAAACCAAAATTGGCAATCCCTATATAAAGTCACCTGGAGCCCTGGTGGTGCAGTGGATAAGAGATCGGCTGCTAACCAAAAGGTCAGAAGTTCAAATTCACCAGCTGCTCCTTGGAAACCCTATGGGGCCATTCTACTCTCTCCTATAGGGTCACTATGAGTCAGAATCGACTCAGTGGCAATGAGTTTTACATAAAGTCAAAGGAGCCCTGGTGGCACAGTGGTTAAGAGCTCGGCTGCTAACTGAAAGGTCAGTGGTTTGAATCCACCAGCCGCTCTGCAGAACAAAGATGTGGCAGCATGCTTCTGTAAAGATTACAGCTTTGGAAACCCTATAGGGCAGTTCTACCATAGGGTTGCTATCAGTTGGAATCTATTCATGCAATGGGTATATAAAGTCAATGTTCTGAAGTTGGAAAGACACTACTAAAGCAGTGGTTTTTAACACTGAGGGGTGGGGGTGGGGATGCGGACACCTTGGAGAATCCAATAGAAGCTACAAACCTTTTATCGGAAAAATTCACACAAAATTTTGGGTATACCAAATGCCATCTGGGATTCCCTTAACCTACCCTGAAATCTAGGCATAATTACCTTAAAACCGGTGACAATTCCATAGCCAATAAAGTCTAAAGCTCTTACCGTGATTTTTACTAATTCATAAGCTTATATTCCTCTGCATCTAGAGTTCACATGACCTTTAGTGCTGCCTTTGCATTACTATGCTGACTGGGCATGATATGTGCCAGGCATCACCAGACAAAACCATGAGCTGGACATAGTTTCTGCCCTCAAGGAACTCACAGTTTAGAAGAGAAATAAGCAAAACCTCATTCGGTTAAAAAATTGAGTACCAACTACGTGCCAAGCAGTGTACTAGATAAATATGGTATTAGGGATACTGCAGGGAGCAAGATAAATATGGTCCTTGGCCTCACAGAACTTACAGTCTATCTAAAGACAGGTCTTAAATAATTATTGGTGCTTAGAAATAGAGAGCTGTGTAACAGTATAACAGGGGAACGTTCCTCAGTCTGCAAGGGCAAAGGTTTCCTTAAAAAAAAAAGTAACTTTTGGCCTGGGACCAGAAAGATACAGAAATATTGAAGGATGGAAAGGAGTTAGCTAAATTGCTGGGGGAAGGAAAGAAAGAGTAAGTGGCAAGAGTTACGAGAATCGTGACACGATACTGAGACCAGTGATAATGCATTCAGTAATGAACAATATGTCATTCTTCTAAAAAATACCCAATAGGTACCTACCCACTCCTGACACTGGTATGCATGTTGATATTTGTGTTACATGTGTCAGGATGCATGAATTGTATTTTATCGGTAAAAATTATTGTATATTATCCCTACTTTAAAGTCGGAAAAACTGAGATTCCGAGAAGTAACTTGTTCAAAGTAAGGCATCTAATGAGTTGCAGAGCCAGCAACCCAACATGGGCATCCTCACCCCAAAATACATTACCTTTCAGGCCTTACTGCCACTGCTCCTGAACTGGAGTCCAACGGGCAGCTAAGGGGTTTTCACCAAACTTGGGGACTCCTCTGCTTCGGAAGCCTGGTGGCGCTGTGGTTAGCAGCGGTTAAGAGCTCGGCTGTTAACCAAAAGGTCGGCAGTTCGAAGCCACCAGCCCTCCTTGGAAAAGCTATGAGGGCAGTTCTACCCTGTCCTATAGGGTCGGAATCGACTCGACGACATCGGGTGTTTTGGTTTGGGTCTTCTGTGCTTTTGCTCATGCTTGGTTCCCGCAGAAATGCCCTCCGCCACTTTCCCCAGAACCAATCATCTTTCAAAAACCCGTTCAAATGCCAATTATTCTATTAAGTATTCCCAACCACCAACGAGAAGCCGCGCCTCTCTCTTTCAAACGACTCTCTATGATTTCCAGTTGGTATTATTTTATTTTCCACCTGTCTCTCCCATAGACCGTTAAGAGGCTTGCGGGGACAGACGTCCAAGACACCGCCTCACCTGCAGCGGTCAACCCGGAAACACAGGCTGCTTTAAGCCGAAACTGTTTGGTGAACCTCCTCTCAAGACCCTCCCGGAGTCCGACAAGTGCATCGGTAAGATGTATCAGAAACAACTCCAACCACGTAAACTTGCTACGACGGCGGAAGATTACAAACCCCCACACTGACTAAACGAAAACGTTACCGCCAACCCCGGGAAGCTTAGCAACGGCGGACTTCCGTCCTCGCTCCGGCTTCTCAGGGATCCGCTTCCGGGGCAGAGGGCGCCCCCGCCCCTCCTGCAAGATGGCGAGCGGCGCCACCGGGGGGGCTTCAGTACCTGCGCTCTGGAGTGAAATTAACCGTTATGGCCAAAACGGCGACTTCACGCGCGCTCTCAAGACAGTCAACAAGAGTGAGTGTCGGGACGGGGGCGGGCACTGGGGCTGGCCTGGGCCAGCGGGAAGACGCAGCCCCCATCCAGTGCCCGCGACCACGCGGGAGGGGAGAGACCCCCTGCTGCCCCCCCGGCTGAGGCCCGAACGCCGGGCAGGCGCGAATTGCAGCCCTTCCGCCTCTCCGGGCCAGCCCCGGGACCCAGGTTGCTTAGAGCCACGTGTACTTCCCCCTGTATCTCTCACAGGAAGCGAGGGAGAGATTTAAAGAGCCCGCAGCTCTGGGTGCTTCTCGTTTGATTCTCTTTCTGCTTTCACGCTTCATTTTGAAAATATCTCACATTGCTTCCTTTTCTCCTGCCTCTTGAACGGAGTGATGAAGACAGTATTGCTGAGGGAGCTTGCTCCCTTGGTCCTCCGCGAGGATAGGAACCCGCCTGGGACACGTAATTTGGAAGCTGATGCTGACAAGGTGGAAGCTGTACAGATCCGTCTGAGGGTACAGGCGTGTCATTCCCGCAGATAGAGTCACCCCAATGCCATTAAACCAGAAAATGTATGTGTGAGAGCACCAACATTTGGAATAATGTTGGAAGGAAAGCTTGGCCTGTTTTTGGCCTTTAAGTGATAATTTCAAGTTTTACTGTCTTTGCTGTGAGATTCAACTCATATTCTTTTATCCTTTAATACATAAGTCTAATATGGCCTTGCTTTTTAATGCGCTCCATTTTGCTAAATTCTTTTCTACTGAAGATGCAGTCTGTATTTGTTAGATTTGAAATTTAGTGAACAAGACAGGGTTTGGCTGCTCAAAACAA